GAGGCTGTGCCTCTGCCACCACTGACCTGAGGCTCCCTCTTGCACACCCTGGATCCCCCATCTCTGCTCTCCATGGGGTCCATGGGCAAAGAGGCAGGGTGGGGCCCATGAGCTCCACCCTGGAGACCTGAGCGGCACCTCCCTTCCCAGCTGACACCACCTGAGTCATCCTGCTCAACGTGATGACAGCAGGCCTGGAACCGATGACGTCAATACCAGCTACATCAGGGTGGGTGTGCGTGGGAGGCGGGCCTGGACCCATGGTTCCTGGGGGGCCCAGGAAGAACCAGGGCCTCCGGGGAGGCGGTGGGCGGCAGTCCACAAGGGATCTCGGAGAGGCTGGATAGGCATTGGTCCTTAGCCCCTTGCAGGCCTGGAGTGTGAGAAGTGTGAGCCACCAGGGCTCCTTTTCGCATCATTTGCATGGACTAGTTTGTTCTCTGGAACCAGCGGCAAGTGACCGCACCCCTTTTCAGATTGACCCTGAGGAGGAGCCAGGCTGTGGCATGGCCAGTGTGTATATTGACACGCAGGGCTGTCTGCAGGCCACGGTGGCTGCTTTCTGGGCCATGGTGCACCAAGAGAACATGTATCATCTTCATGACCACCAGGGCAGTGGAGTGAGGCCGGGTAGGGGCGAGGTGTCAGTGGGCACACCAGTGCCCATCCCACCCCACGCACGTCAGCTGCCTGAGACCCTTCCCACCCAGGCCAAGGAGCCTGTGGGAAGCCGTGGGACTGGGGAGGGTCCCGTGGCTGCACGCACATGCCTGTGTCTCTACAGGGCATGGGGCAGGGGGAGGCGCCAGGGGCTGCCAGGGAGGCTAATGCAAAGCGTTCTCCCCAGAATAAGTGTTTCCGGTACTGGCCCGAGCTGCATGGCAGCCAGGAGTCTGGCTGAGCGTGTGTGCATAACCTGGGAGCTGCCAGGCCAAGGGCGACTGTGTGTGGGAGCTGCAGGTGTGGTGGCCGGGTCTGGTGAGAGCATGCCCTCTGAGGGCCTGCACTGGGAGACCCCAACACCTGGCTGCATCTAACCCCACTTCCTTCGGGCACCTCCACATCCTTCAACCCAGAAGGCACACTCCAGGCCTGGGCACGGGTCACTGAGGTGGCCACATTCTCAGTCCTGGGCGAGCAGCCGCTCCTTACACACACCTCTTCAAACTGCAGCTTTGGTCTCTGTTGTCCACCAGCGTCAACCATTTCTGTCCCGGGTAGATTACCTCCTTCTCCCCCCAGCCCTGCCCGGTGGGGGGTCCTGCAGGTTGTGGGTAACCCCCCATATAGGCACTGAGGAATGAGAGCCAAGCAGAACCCTGGCACAGTTAGGGCTTGAGGAATATCTCACTTTATAGTGTTACTACTCAGCAACTTCCTTTTATATAATCCTTCATACAATCATATATTAGTTTATAGAAATAGGGCTTGAAGAATCCCTTTATATTATCCTCTCTATATAATCATATAATAGTTGATAGTATGAGTGCCTAAAGAATATTTCCCTACATATGTAATTATATCTTAGTTCATTATCGGAGGTCTGCTGAGAGTGGACACAGTACAGAGCATGAATTAAGGAATAAGTAGTTTATAATCGGAGGAATGCCTAGAGCAGACACAGTGCAGAGCATGATTTAAGGGAAAAACAGTCATACCAGGCCAAGAATCCATGGCCCAGGCGCCAGCGTTCAGTATCATAAAGATACCCGCTGTGTGGCAGGCTTGGGGCAAGAGCCTCTCCTCCTGATAAAGGAGTTGTAGGACCTTGCTCCAGTTCTTGTGGAAGGCTGCCCTCAGACCGGCAATCCACCTTGGTGACTGTGAACTTTATCAGCTCTTGCTACTGTGCTGCTTGAAAAGCATCTTCCTATAGAATTCATTGGAAACTTCCAGAAGGTGGCGGTAACCCTGACAGCTCTGTCACTGCTGTGTGACCTAAAGCATCCTCCTATAAATCTTCCTAGAAGTAGTTTGACCATAGATAGAAGTATTGCACACTGCACCCTCTTCACTGCGCACGGCCCACCTTAAAGCCTCGGTGATCTTATGTGGGTGGACCCCTTACTGCACACGGCCCTTGCCTTCATGGGAACAGGCCCCTTGCTGTGCACTGTCCACCTCCTGGCCTAGGTGACCTAATGGGGGTGGACCCCATGTTTTATTGCTCACGAACCTATCACTATCCTTAAAGATGATTTCACTCCCTGCCCTGACCCCTAACCTATGCACAATAAATACTCAGACTTCTGGACATTCAGGGCCTCACCTGACTCCGCTCATAGGTGGCCTGGTCCCCTGAGCCCAACTGCGTTTTCTTTGTACTTCTATGTCCTGTCTCTTTATTTCTCGGATCCTGCGCCTCAGCACAGCATAAGGCTCACCCCACGACCCTGTGGGGCCCTCAGCCCTACACAGGTCCCCATGGAGCCCTCACATTTCGTTCTTCCTTATAGAATCACTGTCCCAACAGCTTGCTTCCCCCCTCCCCCGACCCCCGCCCCGTCCAGCTCCCTCTTCCTTCTCCAGGCACCTGAGCCACTGGGGAGGGCGGGCCATCTCGGCGCCCCCCTCCCCGTTTCCTCCATCCTCCTGCTCCCCTTGGCCCCCGCAGCCCCTCTACCTGGGCACTCCAGACAAACCCTGTTGTGCCTCAGCCTCTCCCCCCAACCCCTCCCACCCGGGGTCGCACTGACCGCCTGCCCCGCCCATGAGGAGCCACCACGCAGTGCAACACCTTCAGTACTTCAGCTGGCAGGAACACGGCGTCCTCGGCTTCCTGGACTAGGAGAACCGGGCCCAGAGCAGCGAGCCGGGGGCCGGGCCCGTGGTGGTGCACTGCAGGTGCAGGTGCGGCGGGGCTGGCCACGCGGGCCGTGCAGATGCAGGTGCAGGTGCGGCGGGGAGGGCCACTTGGGCTGTGCAGGTGCGGGGGCGGTGGGGCCACGAGGGACGTTGCGGGCGGAGCCATCAGGTGGGGCGGGGTGGGGTGGGGCGGCCCCACTCTCATCAACGGCCGCCTGGTTTGTCAGTGCGGGCCCCGGACGCACCGGCACCATTACCGTGATCTGCATCCCGGTGGACGTCACCCGCAGACAGGGTGAGCCGCTCCTCCCCAGGAGCGCCCCTCCCGGGCCCGGCTATAACCGGACGACCCCACCCCTGCCCGCCCACCCCGCCCCTCAGCCATAGTCCCGCCCCTGCCTGCAGGCCCCGCCCCTCAGCCGTAGCCCCGCCCTGAGCGCGCGTGTCCCGAAGGCTGGACTGCGATATCGATGTCCCGAAGACGATGCAGCTGGTTCGGCGGCAGCGCTCCGGGATGGTGCAGACAGAGGCGCAAAACAGGTTCGCGTACCTGGCGTTGCCGCCGTACATCCAGGGCGACCAACTGCGCCTGCGCGGCCAGGTTGGGGGGGGGGCGTGGGCGTCGCCATGGTGACCGGCGGCCCCGCCCCTCAGCCCGAGGCGCCGCCGGAGTGCGAGAACCAAAACGTGGGCGCCGCCCCCAGCGAATAGGGTTGTAGCCCCCGGCCAGCGTCTCCACCGGCACCCGCGGTGTGAGTGGGGCGCTGGGAACAGGCCGGGGTTCTCCGGGAGGGACTACGGGTGTGCGGGGCGCAGGGCTGAGCCGCTGCTCCGCGCGCAGGAGGCCGAAGCCCTGGGACGGCGAGGATGCGAACCTGAGGAGCCGCCGGTGCTTGAGGAGCCACAGGGAACGCCCGGCCTGGCCGCGCCCGCATGGGGCGGGAGCTGCGGGTCGGGACAGTGTCCAGGACAGAGCCACAGCTCGTCCCCAGCTCATGGAGGCCCAGGGGCGGTAGAGGGAGTGGCGGCTGCAAAGCCCACGGGTGACCACGTGTGAACTCGTGTGCACCACTAGCTCAGCCACTCAGTGCGGGCCTGAGCGGCCAGGACACCGGTCTACGGGCCCTGCCTGCTCTCGTGGTCCGGGACGTGGCCCCGGTGGAGACTTGGCCCCATCAGTCACAGGGTGGATGTTTGTCGAGTGAGGTGTGCATGACATGTTCCTGTGACCACCTGTGCAGCGTCATGCGCCTGGCCCTGCCGGTGACAAGGGCGTGGGTCTGTGTGTGCATAACCGCCTGTGTGTCACAGTGTGACGTCACTTCCGTGGCCCGTGCTTGCATTCCCCACATCACCAGTTGGCCTGTGGCTTTGCGGCCTTCCAGTAAAGTGCTGTGTTCTCCGTTCTGTGTCTTTGTTGGGGCCTGGGGGCAAGGGTGGGTGTGGGCCCCCACAGCTGGACTCAGCTTCTGTGGGGCCTTCCCGAGCCCCTCCCCACCCTGGCCAGAGGCCCAGCTGGTTGGAGCAGGAAGTACCTGGGTTCTGAGGTCAGGGGTGTGAGACCTGCTTGAGCTGGAACTGGCCTGGGCTCTCCTGGCCGTGCTGGCCTGGTGGTGTGGCGAGCCTCCTGGCGAGCCTCCTGCCCAGCCCTTGTGAAGCTGCATTCTGCCTCTTCTCTAGCAAGGCTGGCCCTGGGAGGGCCAGAGGGTCTGTGGGGGCCGCATATCTGGAGGCTGGATGCTGGCTGTTCCTACCTCTGCTTCTGGGGACCCTTATGCTTAGCTTCCCACATGGGTCACACGTTCTGGGGTTCTCTAGTCAGTGACCCTACCAGGGCCGTGGAGCATGACTTCCTGGAGGGGCAGTCTAATATGGCCATGGTGGGGGATGGGGAAGAGAAAGGCTCCCTTTGTCAGCCACTGGGCTCTGGGCTGAGCTGAAGCCCTCTCCCTGGTCCTGCCTGGCCTGCCCCAGGTGCCCCGGGCTCTCCCCGTCTACATGGGGAGCCTCATACTGCTGAGGCGCCAGCCAACTCCAGAGACCCACAGCCTGTCCACAGCCAGAGGGGCTGGGAGCTGGATCCCTAGAACCTGGGCCCACTTGTCCCGGTGGCTGCTGGGAGTCTGATCCAGTTGGGGTCTAATCTCGGTTGAGGCTGGGGCAGGGGCGCGCAGAATGAGGCCCTTTTAAAGAAGACGGATACAAATCATTTACTTAAAAATCTACAATTCTCAAGGGTTGGAGGGGCAGCTGGAAGTTTCCGTGGTTATCTTGCATTGGGGCGCTGCCCTGCCCCCCCGTTCCCCCAGTCAGAGGGCAAGACCAGCACCCCCACCCAATGGCAGGGACCAGCCCCGCCTGAAGAAGGCCTGGGGAGGACCTGGGGGTGAAACATGAGCATGAGCCAGGGCATGGCAGGCCCCTCCCTCCCTTCCCTGGCAGGTGATTCTGTGTGCATGGACGCAGGGTGCTGGCTGGCTTCCCTCCTGGGCCCTTCCCCATCTGCATAACAGGAGCTGCAGGTGGTCTCTGCGGCCTGTGGGAGCCTGTGGTTCTGGGAGGCTTTGGAGACCCTCTCATCCACCCCATCAGGGCCCAGCCTGGACACTGAGGGGTGAACAAGCTAAATGGTGCCTGGACTTGGCGGGGCCCAAGTGGAATCCTCAGACATGCTGGGCTCCTTTTGGGTCCTCAGGGACAGACTTCCAGTGGCTGCTGCGCCCTTGAGACCCCGGTGGGGGACCCACTCATGGCTGACCTGGGCAAGGCTGGTGACTCTAGTTGCCAGTTAGAGGCCCGAGGGGGAAGGTGGCCGTGGTGGTGGGGAGTTGGGGGGTCGGGGGCAGGCAGCGCAGGTTCCCTGTCTTGAGGGCGCAGTGCACCGGCCAGAGTGCCACACAGAAGAGCACCAGCAGCAGGGCGGAGACCAGCGCCATGCGCCTCCAGTCCCTACAGCGTGCCCAGCAGCGGGCCAGGCAGCCCCGGTGGGGGGCAGGGTCCTGGGCGGGCATGGGTTCGGGGGGCTCGGCAGGCTTGCTCAGGCCGACGTCCACACATACAAAGCCAGGCTTGCGGCCAGGCGTGGCAGGTGGCGGCTGGCAGCACAGCTTGGTGCCCTCCAGCCACACAGGCTCCTCGCGCCGAAGATGCACTGGCATCCGGGCCTGCAGCTGGCGGCTGGTGCGCAAAGCGGGGGCTCCGGCAGGTGGCACGGCCGTGGGCTGCCTGCAGAAGGGGCAAGGCACAGCCTCACCACCGGGGCCGTCCTCGGGCTGAGCAGCCACCAGCCGGGCCAGGCACTCCAGGCAGAAGACGTGGGTGCAGGAGAGCTCCTTGGGTGTCTTGAAGATGTTGTCATAGCCTGAGAAGCAGATGGAGCACTCCAGGGGGGAGGCCACTTTCTCCGAGCCGGGGGTGCCAGGGGACCGGAGGCTGCCGGCCGAGCTGGGGGACTGGGGCATGGAGGCCGTGGAGCTAATCCGGCAGGGGGGTGGCACAGCTGTGTGCCACACTTGCTGGCCTGAGGACATGTCTCTGAGCTGTGGGACAGAGATCGTGGTGAGCAACCACAGGCCGCCCCTTCTGGTGGTCTTTTGTCTCCCCCTCTCCTTCTCTTTTGCCCAGCACCAGCCTGAGAGATCCCAAGGAAGGGCTCTGTTCCCCGAGCACTCCTAAAGAAAGTTCCTCCGGTGCCCCGGGAGGTCATTCTGCCCCAAGCGTAATCCAGCCCTCGCCACCTGTCATCACACGGCTGCTGCAGCGGTGAGCCTACCCTGGGAATGCTGGCCATGTGCATGGGGGTCTCACTGATCACTCGGCGGGCACTTCTTGCTGGCCTTGCCCCTCCTGGCCCTGCTGCCTGGGCAGAAATCATGGTAAGGATGACAGACCACAGTCGCCACTGTTTATACAAGGCTGGGCCCATGTCATGGGACTCACGCCACAGGGCCCATGTCGTGGGACTCACAGATACCACACGGCCCACGTCACAGGACTCACTCTACAAGGCCCACGTCACGGGACACACACACGCCACAGGACCCACGTCACGGGACTCACAGACACCACAGGGTCCACATCACGGGACTCGCAGACGCCACAGGGTCCACGTCACGGACTCAGATACCACAGGGCCCACATCACGGGACTCACACATGCCACAGGGCCTACGTCACGGGACTCACAGATGCCACAGGGTCCACGTCCGGGGACTCACAGGCACCACAGGGCCCATGTTACGGGACTCACACATACCACAATGTGGAAAAGGCTGCCCAGATCATGGGAGACTCAGCCAGGGCCATCCCAAGGGAGTCAGCAGCCCCTGGGCCCCAGCAGATGTGGCTCTCAAGCAGGTCGGGGGCTCCAAGTTAGGTGAAGTGAGTTTGAACTCGGATCCCAGGATGGGTGCCTGGCTTGGGTGGTGCAGGCCCGATTTGCAGGCAGCTGTGTGAGGGTGGGATGTGGGGGTCTCTGGGTCTGGGGGGCTGAGCTGAGCCCCAGGGGCTTCGGGAAGACAGGGAGGGCCCAGGCACAGGTCAGTGCCTGAGGAAGGCCACAGTCTGGGGCCTTTGGGGCCAGCCTGTCTGGCTGCTGAGGGTCTGATGGGCATGGGGGGTGGGGACTTGGACACAGCCATTCCCTTTGGGCCAGCCCCGTCTGACGGTCAGGACACCTTCCGCCACCCACCCAGGGGAAAGCAGGATGCGTTTCTTCTCCCTGACCCACTCCCACCTCATGGCAGGGGTCATGGGGATGCGACTCTGCCCCTGACCTGGCTCAGGTGGGCATCTCAGCTGACCTGGGGCCCTGCTCTGCCTCCCGCCCCTCCCCTGCACCCAGGCTCCGCTGCAAGGAGCCACAGGACTGTCTGGCCCTGGTGGCTCAGGCCACAGGTGTCCCACCTGGAGAGAAGGGGCAAGGGGTGACAGTGAGCCTCAAGGGGCTGACTGTGCATCCCTGTGACGTGCCTCCTGGCACTGCCCTGTCCCACCCCTGACTTGCCAGTCAGTCCCAGGCAGGCCGGTGGGATGACACAGGCCACTGTGACCACCTGAGTCATGCACCATCACTGTGAGGTCGTGAGTGCCCCGGGCACCGGGACCTGGGGAGTGTCCTCTGTAGCCTGAGCACCCCACAGAACCGGTTCCTTGGCCCCAGGCCCCACCCCTCCATGGTGGAACCCCACCTTGAGCCTGTGCAGGTGAGGGGTGAGCGTGGGCTGCGCTGGCCTTACCTGGCAGCTGGGGGTCAGCAGGTCCTGGGCATGGTCTTCCTTGCCGGGCACAGTGGGGCTCCAGGGACTGGGGCTGCCCTGCCCCCCAACATCTGCTTCCTCTCCTCCAAGCAGCCTGTGCTCCACCTGGCAGGTAACCCTCCCAGGCCGGCTGCCAGCAGCTGTGCTGGTGGCTTCTGCTCTGTCCCAGACAGACGGGCACAGGGAATGCACGGGGCAGAGCTCTGCTCGGAGGCAGGTGTGAGTTGCCGGGTGTGGGCTCCTAGGCAGGTCTATTTATACCCTGTGGGTTGTGCCAGCCGAGGGTGTGGCCACAGGGGTTGGCTGGCTTCATCCCCATCTTGATGGGCCAGGCAGAGGTGGCTGGAGGGCAGTGAGTGAGGGGTGAGGGTTGGAGGCTGGTGGGGTTGTCAGGGCCTTGGCAGCCTGGGCGGGTCTGGGCTGGGGTGTGGACTAAGCCCTCTCCCCCTCTGGCCCCAGGAGCCCAGAGCAACCTCTGGAAGCTGCCCACCCAGGGTCAGGTCCAGCGGACCCTGAGCTCCTGGGTGGGCCTCCCAGCAGAGACCTTCCCCGAGCCCCCCACAACCTCAGCCCAGCCTGCCCTGGCCCTGGGGTCACTGCCGTCTTTCCTCAGCCATTCCTGCCACTTCACTGCCCACACCCACCCATGTGCTGACCTGCCTCATCCACACACACACACGCCTGCTCTCAACATGGTTATGTCCACACGTGTGCCCCGTGTCCACATACCCACACACCCCTCAGTGTCACACTGTCACACACAGCCATGTCCAATACTAACACGAGGCTGAGTCCACTCACACATGCCCCAGTGTCACACACTGACACATGCCCATCACACGCTCTCACACGTGCCTGTCACATTCACACACATGCCCGTCACATGCTCACACACACCCGTGTCATGTGTCACACACTCGCATGCCCGTGTCACACACACGTCATACGCTCATACACGCCCGTCACATGCTCACACACGCCTCAGTGTCACATTTCACATACCCACCCGTCATGCTCACACCTCACACCTGTCATGCTTTCTCACCTGTCACATGCTCTCACATGCCTGTCACACTCATACACACCCATCACACGCTCACCCGTCAGTCACGCTCACACGCCCGTCACATGCTCACACGCCCGTCATCCACACATGCCCCAATCACACGCTCACATGCCCGTGTCACACGCTCACACCCGTGTCACACACCTATCACACGCTCTCACACACCCGTCACATGCTCTCACATGCCCATGTCACTCTCACATGCCCCAGTGTCACACTCACCTGTGCCCTGTTCACATGCCATAGCACACTACAGGACTGGTCTGTGCGAAGACCAGGGCTGGAGCTGGTGAGAGTCTGGGGGCTGAGGCCAGCAGGGCTGGGATGGAGGGTGTGGGGGGGCCTGGAGGGGCAGCCAGTGGCCTGGACTGCACCCACAATGCACACTCTGCCATGCGCTTGGCCTTGTGTAGACCGAGCTGCACCCCTAGGCCGTCCAGCCACCAGCTCCCCACGTCATGGAGGCAGCTCTCTCCCAGCAGGCCCAGTGGACCCCATGCAAGGGCAGGTCAGACCCAGTGCCACAGCCCCACCCCCACCATGAGGGCCCCACACAGGTCTGAGGCGTGTCACTCTTGGTGGGCTGGGAGTTCAGGGCCCACCCTGGTGGGAGAGCTGGCGGGGACACCCCACAGGCTGGCCTCACGCAACTTCCCCCACAGGTGCCTGCTGACCCCTCAGTGGGGACCCAGAGGCTCCCCCAGTGCTGCCCCGGGCATCTTGGAGCCCAAGGGACACTGGAAATGACTGCAGATGGGAGCGGGCAAGGCCCCGTGGAGGACAGGGGCCTGGGCTCAGGAAGGGAGGGCTCTCTGTGGGGGCTGAGGGGCCTCAGCAGGGGGTAGGGGTCCAGTATGGGAGAGGGTGGGGCTCAGCAGGGGTGTGGGAGCTCATGGGGGTATTTGGGTGCTCAGACCAGGGACAGCAGGGGCAGGGAGTGGGGGCAGATGCTCAGAGAGGGGGATGAGGGCTGGGGTGGAAGATGGGAGGGGTCTCAGCAAGGCATGGAGGTCCAGAGAGGGAGGGATGGGAGCTCTGTGAGGGGCCCTGTGCGGGTAGCCACGGTGAGAGCCAGCCTGGAATGTGCTCACTGGAGGCTCCTGCTTCCCAAGGTCGTGACTCGGGGTCACATGCTGCTCCAGGAAGGACCCAGGTCCCCGCTGCTCTGGGAACATCCTCCCGACAGTTCCTGGGAATATCTGGGCACTGAGGTCACTCTGGGCTCCCAGCTGACACTCGTGCCTGAGGCAAAGGTGAGGGAAGGCCTGAGGAACGTGCTGTCTCCGGGCCAGGCCAGGCCAGGCCTCCCTCCTCCCAGCCCAGACCATGCAGGGGCCAGGGTGCTGGGCTCTCAGGTGGCTTGCAGGGACTGCGGAGCAGCTTGGCCAGCTGTGTCCAGGGCAGAGGGTGGGCCTGCCTGGTCCCCTGTCCCAGCCAGTGAGCAGGAGGCTGAGCATGTGTGCGATGCGTGTGGATGCTGGTGTGTGCATGTGACCCCCATCTCCTTCACTTCTGATCTCCTCATGCCCTCTCAGGGACTCCTTCCCCTCCACACCCCACCAGGCCCCTGGGTTATGGGTCAGACCCGGTGCTGCCAGGCCTGGGAACACGGTGTGGCTGGTGGGGGAGGGGCCTTCCAGGCCTGAACTGCTCTGGCCCTGCCCTGCCCACCCCACCGCACGCTGGACCATTGGCTCAAGTGCAGCCGTTCTGCTGGCTCTGGGGCTGGACTTCTTTCCCAAGGACCAGCTGTACAAGGGAGGCCGGTGTGGGGGGCAGGGATGGGATAGGCGGACTCTGGGACATGACTTGGGTCTAGCGTTAACCCTGACAGTCATTCATCTCCAGTGTGGGGCCAACCCGCAGCCCGGCTCAGTGTCCACTTTGGCAGGAGGCCCAGCCGGTGCGTCCTCCTGTGCCCGGTGAGGAGGGCATGCCCCATGCCACCGCAGGTCCTGGCTGACCACGTGCTGCCCAGCAGGGCCAATCGAGATGGAATGGGCAGGTGGGGTCGAGGAGGGCTGTGAAGCAGGGGCCATGTGCAGGTGGCAGGATGACCCTGGGTTTCTGATTTGGGCCACTGGGTGGAAGGAGAGGGAGGGGACCCAGAACAGAGAGAGGTAGGGCTTGGGGGTGCTGCTTGGAGAGTGGGTTGGGACAGTGCCCGTCTGCCCAGCCCAGCCTCCAGAGCCTGCCTGCTGGACCTGCTGTTTCCGATTTTATCCTCCAAACCGCACACCTGGCCTGGTGCAAACGCAGGACTCGAGTTTCCAGGGGCACATGGACTCTCCCTCCACCCCATCTCGGTCCCTCTCCTTCCCCACATGAGTCTGGGGTTCCCAAATCACAGGTGTGTGGCCCAGGGCCTCAGGCACTGGGGTCAGTGGCCTTGCACTGGCCAGTCCCCCTTTCTCCCCAGGACCAGGTGACCCACCCGGGCCCAGGGCAGAGCAGATGTTCCCTGGTGCCACCCGCTGCCGACCTTGGGCCAGGGATGGGGACACAGGTGTCTAAGGACATGGCCCTGCAGCAGTCACATTCCTGTCGCAGTGATGGGGACAGGCACAGCGCTCTGACATCCTAGTGCCAGGCCCTCTGCCCCTCGCGGGCCTGTCCTGCACCAGCTCGGCCCTCTCTGGCCAGGCCCATCACTGTCAGCAAACGTCCCCACACTGCGGCCCCTGAAAGAGCTGAGGAGTGACTGCTGTGCTGGGCTCGGGGTGGCCAGGGCCCCTGTTCCCCAAATGGCCCCAACTGCAGTCCTCCTGGAGCCCCGGCCGGCCTAGAGAAATGCACACCCACGCTCTCTCCCGCCTCAGGGCCGAGCTGGGGGGTCAGGGGCCACAGGTCCCACTGCACACGCTGCATTTGGGGAATGAATCTGTGGGGGAAAATGTGCAGGGGTTGGGAGGTTCACCTTGTGCTTGTGGCTCTCAGGACCCCAACCAGGCAGCAGGTGGGGGCTCCTGGACTTCCCTTCACTCCCGCCCTGCCTCCTTGTCCCCAGCACAAGGTGGCGGAGTATGTGGGGCCAGCCTGGTGGGGGCTTGCTCCTCCCCCTGCCCTTAGAGAACAGAGGATCCTTGGGGCAGGGACAAAGCTGAGGGAGAGAGCAGCTCAGAAAACAGCTTGTGTAAGGCTGACTTTATATCAGCACCCTGTGCCCCCATGTTCCTGCTGGCGAGATCCCGGGGACCATGAGAGCACCCACAGTGTACTTTGCAGGAAAAGCATGGGGCCCTGGTGGCCAGGCCGCCCCTCAGAGGTGGACCCAACACTAAAGCAGACGTGCTGGTCACTGCAGGGCACCCGAGACCCATGACCAAGCCCAAGCCTGTTAAGCGCCTTTCTCTCAGGAACCCCAGGGTCACCTGCCACCAGCACAGCCCGAGATGCACAGGGGCAGCACCAGAGCCTGGGAGGGACCCCGAGACTCGGTGCCAGAGCCTGGGAGGTACCCTGGGGCTCAGCATCAGAGCCTGGGAGGACCCCGGGACTCAGCGCCAGGGCCTGGGAGGGACCCCGGGACTCAGCGCCAGGGCCTGGGAGGGACCCCGGGACTCAGCGCCAGAGCAGCCTTGGCAGGTCTACAAGGTAGTGACCTGTGGGGGCCCCTGGGGTTGGATGTATCACTGAGGGCATTGGCCTAGGGCTTCAGCAGACGTTGCCACCAGCCAGAGCCTGCCCTGTGTGGGAAAGGATCAGCCAGGCCTGGGGGTCTGAGCGGGGTTGCCAAGCTCTGGAGGACTTTTCTGTACAATGAATTTCTGCTTAACTCGGAAATGGGTGACTGTGTGCTTGGGGTCTTCACCACGTGGGAGGGTACCCGGAGGCACCCTGGTCTCAGGCAGCTGGTTCCTAGGCTGCGTCCTCCCCACTGGCTGGGCCATGGCTGGAATGGCCCAAGGACCAACCTCACTGCCTCAGAGGGGTGTTGGGCCACTGGCTGCAGCGGAGCTGGAGTCCTGCCCCTGGGCCACCCCAGCTTTGGCTGCAGGCGCTGGGGCCTCACTGCTTCTCCTGGGGGTACCTGGACCCCCCAAGGCCTCGATCTAGAGCTCTGAGGTCTCATGGATGCAGGCGGCTATGGTGGGAAGGAGGCTGGGGCGGCCTGGGTCCCCTCGGTGTCTGTCGCTGGGAGACGGAGGGTTCAGAGCCAGGGCTGTGCTGGCCTCTCCCGGCTGCTGGGCGACGCCAACCCTTTGTGCTGGGCTCCTGCTGCCAAGCGCATGGCGTGGTCTCAGCCTCCGGGTCAGACGTTGCTGATGCGGGCCTCCACCGAGAAGGCAGCAGGGTCCGTGGCCCTGTCCAGGGGCCGGTCCCGCCTGACGTAGCGTGGCTTCCGTACTGAAATGGAGTCAGAGACAGGCGGGGTCAGCGGGACCTGGACAACGGACAGTGCAGGCCTCAGCCCTCACCGGAGGCTCTCAGGATCGGCTGTGGCACTGGCAGTCAGGGCTGTTGGCTCTGACCAGGTGGGAACCCAGATGCCCCTGCCCTAAGGCACCCTCAGAGCTCCTGCCCATCTGCATCCTCTCATTTGCACCTGGGCACCGGGGCCTGGACGAGGGTCAGCCTACCCCTGAAGGCAGAAGTGTGGGCCCCTCACCATTACACACTTCAGGGGCTGGGGTGCCCCCAAAAGACAACCAAGCCCTGAAACCTCAAATGTGGCCTTATGAGAAGAGTCTTTGCAGGCGGAGTTACATCAGGATCTCAGGTGCGATCGCCCAGGGTTGCGGGGCAGACCCTAAATGCGTGGCCAGAGCCCTCCTGAGAGGGAGGCGGAGAGAGGAGAGGCAGACCTGGTGGAGATGCCGTGGGACCGGGGGGCAGAGACGCCTGAGTCGGCAGCACTGAGGAGGCAGCAGGCTCTTCCCTGGGAGCCTCCAGAGGATGTGGCCTGCCTGCCAGTGGCTCTGGAGTTCTGAACTCTGCGACCGTCAGGTTGAAGGTCTGTTGAAGCTGCAGCCGCAGGGTGCTCGGGCACCGTGAAGTCAGCTGGACATTTGCAGACAGGGCTGCTTTAGGGACAGGGCAGGTCCAGCCTTGATCAAGGAACTGTCTGTACCCTAAGGACACTGTCACCTGCCCCTGTGAGAGGCCTCTGCACACCGGGACAAAGCCGGGTGAGACCTGTCAGTCTTGGAGCCGCGGGGCTGTGGTCACTCAGCCTCTCTGTGCCTGTGGCCTCGCCTATAAAATGGGTCCTAACTGGGCTGACCCCTGGGTGCCCCTGACCCAGCATCGCTGAAGGGTGGCTGCTCTCTGCTGCTCAGGAGGGCCTGGCAGAGGCCGGCTGCACCTGTCCTCAGAGGGAGCTGGGACTTGGAGGAGGGGCAGGCACTGGGGGTCTGCCCTGTGATGGGTCCTCCTTTCCTGCGGACCCCATGTGTCAGAACAGGAAAGGGCATGGAAGTCACAGGGATTAAAGGGGGGTGGTGTGGGAATAAAGGTGCCTAGGTGCCAGGCAGGAGACTGCAGGCACAGTCTGTTCCGGCGTGACAGATAAGTGATCTACACCATAAGACTGAAGTTCCTACACTAAAGCAAAGATCAACGGAGAATAATGATGTTATAAGTCTGTGTAATTGATTATGTGACTGAATCTAGTATCTATTTGGTGTCATTGCTGTAAGTACTCAGCCATTTATTATGCTGGGACAGACTGTGCCTTTAGTCTCCTGCCGTGGCACCTGGGCAACTTTCTTCCCACAGGCGGGCAGGGGGCACTGGCCAAATCCAGCCCTGGCCCTGCCTTGTGGGTGGGTCTCCTGGGGACCTGGGCAGGGGCGGCCGAGGACCAGAGCCAGTGTGTTTGGGGACAAACCCACAGAGCATCCTGGGTCTGGCCCAGGGATGGGAAGCCCCACAGGGCATATGATGCTGCATTACCTGAGGGCTGTGGCGGGGGGATCATTGCAGCCTTGAAAAGGAGAGAAAGGCAGAGTGAGGACGCGGACGGCCCAGCACAGGTACCCGCAGCCGGGGACACTCAGCCCGGACGACGCAGGTTACTTACAGCTTCGCCAGGCTGCAGGGCCGGGGCTGCGGGGAAGAAAGTGGGCAAGAAAGAAGCTGCCTCAGCCTGGTGTGGCGTCCAGGGGAAGCAGAGGCCCTTGGGTTGAGGGCCAAGGGTCAGGCTGGTCCCACCCCCCTCTCCCTGCTGCGCCGTCAGCCTGGCCGACCACCTTGCCACATTCTTCCAGGGCACTCAGGGGTGAGGGGGCCTCCCTAGCCCCCCAGGTGAGACTCCCCTCCCCGGACCCACCTTCCCGCCTCCTTGGAGGGGACAAGCCACTCTCCTGAGAAGTGTTTCTCTAGACTCTAGGCCCCAGGGGAAGGGTTCCCTCCCACCCTCCCAGGAGGAGCCTCAGGCACGAGGTGGCTTTTGGCCCCAAGGCATGGGCATTTGCCTCCATGGTGGGGGGGCCGTGGCATCATGGCCAACCTGGCTTCTCCTTGTCCCATGGCCATCAGGGCACTTCAAGCCCTGAGCCGTCCCCTGCTCCAGGGTGCCCATAGGCAGAGATGCTGAGTAGGCTGGGACGTGGGGGGTATCTCGGTGCACGGCTGCGCGGCAGCCCCTGACTGGAGGCTGGGCCCTGTGAACCCGAGTGGCAGAGGCCCCGGCCTCCAACTCCCAGGACCCAGGAGACACAACAGCCCATGAAGGCAACCAGCGCTGGCTGAGGGGCGTGGCCAGGGGTCTCACGGTAGCTGGCGAGGCAGCTTAGGGGCCTGGAGGAGGCCCCAGCTCTGGCCATGACAGTATGGCCATGTGCTCACCTCAGGGTCCAACCTGCCAACTGGACCCTCCCTGGAAGGGACAATGAAGGCAGGTGCCAGGGACCCTGCATAGAGCCCGCCCCTGCCTGAGGGCGCCTCAGTCACAACCCTGCCTCTCCGGCGGGAGGGGTCGTGTCCAGGCCAGGGGTGACCCTGTGTCGGCATGGTGTAGGCTGGGGTGCGGGCCCTGCACTGGCCTGGCCAGCCCTGACCCCAGGAGAGGGGAGGGAGGAGCCGTGGCTGCCAGAGGAGCCCCCACGTCCAAGTTGCTGAGAGCCACCTGGCCCCGCTCCCCCCACCTCATGGTGCCCTGAGGGACCCCAGGAAGATGCTGGGCCGGAGGAGGGTTCCAGCGGAGGCTCCGGGCCCCGAGGAAGGCCCCCTAATGCTTTGAGCAGAGTCCACGCCTTCACGGAGGGACCCCTCAAATCCATACAAGGGTGTTTCTGGGAAGTGACTGCTGTTCTCACAACGGGACCCAAAAGCCCCGTGACAGGCCTGCGCCCTCCCAGCCTCTCACAGTCCCAGGCCCATCCCCACGGCCAGCCCTGCCCACCCTACGCCCTCCCGTGGGACGTGGGACGTGGGACGTGCGCAGTCCGTGAGACACCTTTGTTTCTTCGGTAGAAGACCCTGGGGAGTTTACTGGAGCGCTTGAGGTAGAAGAATCCAGCTACGGAGAGGATGAGGCCAGAGCTGATGAAGAAGGTTCCCAGGAAGAGGGAGGCGGCCACTCGGGGAGCCCCTACAAACACATGCAGCTGAGCGGCTGAGCAGGATGCCGCCCAGCCCCTCACCCGGCCCTGGTGGCCCCTCACATGGTTGACTCCTGCTCCCCGAACACACCTGAGCCTCATGGGACCGGCCGTGGGGGTGAGGGCCCTGCACACAGACTTGGGTGGTCCCTGCAGACACAGCCACGCCTGGGCATCTGGCCATGGGGTCTGGGAAAGTTATGACCTCCCTGGCCTCAGCTTCTTGCAGGAGTTTGGACGTTGGGTGCGTTACAGGGGCCAGCCCCGGCCAGGCTCTGTGGAAACGCCTCTCCGATTCTAGTTGCCCTGAAAGCCAGGGTTCCCAGGCTTGTTCGTTCCTCAGGGCTCAGCACAGGCCCTGGGGCCCCTGCGTGGTGCAGAGCCTTGAGCTGACAGCAGGTGCCCCTGCTTCCCACTTGTCTCCACCTGCCTGGACCAGGACGGGCAGGGCTCAGGACAGTTGGTGATGGCTGTTGGGTGTGCTGTGAGGCGCTGGGGAGGGGACTTCCCAACCCGAGACACAGGCATGTTTGCCAGGCTTGGGGGCCTTGTTTTTCCCACCCCAGCAGGGAGCCACAGAGGCCAAGAGCCCATCTAGGCCAACCCTACCTGAAAACACTGCCACTCAGGTCAGCAATGGGCCCAGGCCAGCTCCAGGCCCGAGTCCATGTTCTAAAGATGTGAGGGTTTTGCCCTCTCAGAACACAGCCCTCTGCCCCATCCCCAGGTCCAGCATGTCCTCTGTTGAAGGATGAGGGTCTGCAACTGCCTGGGTGGGCACCACGACCCGTGGCCCAGCCACACACATATCTCAGGAAAAGCCGCTAGCCATGGTTAACAGAGACCTCAGAGCACCTGTTCCTCCTGGTTCCTGGACTGTGGCCGCAGGCCGGGGTGAGCTTGGGTGAGGCAGAGGCAGGACCAAGCTGTGAGCATGAACCTGAGTGTGTGTGGTGTGGGCATGTGAATCTGAGTGTGCAGTGTGGCCATGAGGTGTGAGTGTGAACCTGAGAGCGTGTGGTGTGGCCGTAAGCTCTTTGAACCTGAGTGTGTGTGGTGTGGGTGTGTGAACCTGAGTGTGGTGTGGCCGTGAGGTGTGAGTGTGAACCTGAGAGCGTGCAGTTTGGCCATGAGGTGTGAGTGTGAACCTGAGAGCGTGTGGTGTGGGCGTGTGAAACTGAGAGTGTATGGTGTGGCCATGAGCTGTGTGAACCTGAGAGCGTGTGGTGTGGGCGTGTGAATCTGAGAGTGCATGGTGTGGCCGTGAGCTGTGTGAACCTGAGAGCGTGTGGTGTGGGTCTGTGAATCTGAGTGTGTGTGGTGTGGCCGTGAGGTGTGTGAACCTGAGAGCGTGTGGTGTGGGTGTGAACCTGAGAGCATGTGTTGTGGGTGTGTGAATCTGAGTGTGCGGCGTGGCCATGAGATGTGTGAACATAAGAACGTGTGTGGCCATGAGCTATGAGCATGAACTGTGTGTGGTGTGGGTGTGTGAATCTGAGTGTGGTGTGGGTGTGTGAACCTGAGAGCGTATGGTGTAGCCATGAGGTGTGAGTGTGAACCTGAGAGCGTGTGATGTGGGTATGTGAATCTGAGTGTGTGGTGTGGCCGTGAGGTGAGTGTGAAATAGTGTGTGGTGTGGGTGTGAACCTGAGAGCGTGTGGTGTGGCCATGAGGTGTGAGTGTGAACCTGAGTGTGGTGTGGCTGAGCTATGAGCGTGAACCTGAGCGTGTGGTGTGGGTGTGAACCTGAGAGCGTGTGGTGTGGCAGTGAGCTGTGTGTGAACCTGAGTGTGTGGTGTGGGTGTGTGAACCTGAGAGCATGTGGTGTGGCCGTGAGGTGTGAGCGTGAACCTGAGAGCGTGTGGTGTGGCTGAGCTATGAGCGTGAACCTGAGTGTGTGATGTGTGAACGTGAGAGCGTGTGGTGTGGGTGTGTGAATCTGAGTGTGTGGTGTGGCCGAGGTGTGAGCGTGAACCTGAGAGCGTGTGGTGTGGCCGTGAGCTGTGTGTGAACCTGAGTGTGGTGTGGGTGTGAACCTGAGCGTGTGGTGTGGCCGTGAGCTGAGTGTGAACCTGTGTGTGGTGTGGCTGTGAGCTGTGTGAACCTGAGTGTGGTGTGGGTGTGTGAACCTGTGTGTGGTGCAGGTGTGTGAACCTGAGAGCGTGTGGTGTGGCCGTGAGGTGTGTGAACCTGAGAGCGTGTGGTGTGGGTATGAACCTGAGAGTGTGTGGTGTGGGTGTGTGAATCTGAGTGTGTGGTGTGGCTGAGGTGTGTGAACTTGAGAGCGTGTGGTGTGGCCGTGAGCTGTGTGTGAACCTGAGTGTGTGGTGTGGGTGTGTGAACCTGAGCGTGTGGTGTGGCCGTGAGGTGTGAGTGTGAACCTGAGTGTGGTGTGGGTGTGTAAACCTGAGCATGTGTGGTGCGGGTGTGTGAACCTGAGAGCGTGTGGTGTGGCCATGAGCTGTGAGTGTGAACCTGTGTGGTGTGGGTGTGTGAACCTGAGAGTGTGCAGGTGTGTGAACCTGAGAGTGTGTGGTGTGGCCATGAGGTGTGAGTGTGAACTGAGAGCCCATGGTGTGGCCATGAGGGCCTCCCCTAACTATGGCCCTTTACAGATGTGGACAGCATGCTCCACGTGTCACATCCCCAACACACCCCCACGCCAGCTGACCCCAGCCCCTGGGGCTGCCAGACTCCCCTCTGGTCCGGTTTGGCAGTACAGACTGACCCTGTGGTGGCCGTGTCAGTGGTCAGGGTCTGCACTGGCGGTGGCTCTGACAGCCCCCAGCCTCCGGGACCCCTGCAGAGACTTACCGGTATGTGGCCGCCCAGGGGTCCCTGAGCTTCTGTTCATGGGTAACGGTGCACCCCGGCCAGCGACTGTGGGAGAGCAGAGTTGTGGGAAGCCTGCGTGCACGGAGCCCACAGGGGACCCCCATGCACACCCTGAAGTGAATCTCAGGCCAGAAATGAGAGGCTGTCAGGGTGGGCAGCCCTCACCAGAGCTGTCCCGGGTGGGCCAAAGGACACAGGAAGGCGGGGCTCCCGGGGCTGTTCCCCCAGTGCACAGCGGCTCTGAGGCAAGGTGGGGACATGGACAGCCTCCCCAGGTTTCTCCCCAAGCTGGAGCTGCGGCCCTGCTGTGAGCAGGGACCCGGGGAACAGCCGGGCAGGCTTACAGCTTCTGCACTCGGAGCTGTTGTAGGCCGGGAGGGTTCCATTCCCGCAGCGGATGCAGCTGGCGCTCCCATCCGCATTCCAGCGCCTGTAGCAGCCTGCGCAGGGCAGAGGACCGGCATCTCAGCCAAAGCAAAATCCACAGCAGCTCGGTCTCCCAGGAATGATTCTCCATTTTGAGTTTGTGAGATAATTTTCATCTGAAACACTAACGTGCTCTGGAGGTGCGCGGCGGGCTCAGGCTGCAGACGAGGATGCCCCTGGCAAGCGTGGCAGGGCCCTGGGACACCAACCCGAACACTGCGCTGCACACTCCCGAGAGTACTGGGCAGCAGCATCCAGAATGAACAGGCCTGCGTGGGGGCTTGTGCTCTGCAGGACTGGAGGATGAAGGCCAGCGTCCACAACCACCCAGTCCCCACCCCACAGCCTCCCCAGGACCCCCACCTGCAGCACACACCCCACGGCCTGCCCACCTACAGCCCCTGCCCCATGACCTCCCCCAGGACCCTCCCAGTCTCCCCCAGGACCCCCACCTGCAGCCCCTACCCCACGGCCTCCCCAGGACCCCACCCTGGCCTCCCCCAGGACCCCCACCTGCAACCCCCACCCCACGGCCTCCCCAGGACCCCCACCTACAGTCCCTGCCCCATGACATCCCCCAGGACCCCCCACAGCCTCCCCTAGGACCCCCACCTGCAGCCCCCGCCCCATGGCCTCCCCAGGACCCCCACCTACAGCCCCTGCCCCACGGCCTCCCCAGGACCCCCACCTGCAGCCCCTGCCCCACAGCTTCCCCAGGACCCCCACCTACAGCCCGCCCCTGCCCCATGATGTCCTCCAGGACCCACGGCCTCCCCAAGGACCCCCACCTGCAGCCCCCACCCCATGGCCTCCTGAGGACCCCCACCTGTAGCCCCCACCCCACGGCCTCCCCTAGGACCCCCATCTGTAGCCCCCATTCCGCGGCCTACCCAGGACCCCCACCTACAGCCCCTGCCCCATGACCTCCCCCAGGACCCCCCACAGCCTCCCCCAGGACGCCCCCACGGCCTCCCACAGGACCCCCACCTGCAGTCCCCGCCCCATGGCCTCCCCAGGACCCCCACCTGGAGCCTCCTCCCCACAGCCTCCCCAAGGACCCCCACCTGCAGCCCCCACCCCACGGCCTGCCCAGGACCCACACCTATAGCCCCTGCCCCATCACGACCCCCAGGACCCTCCACAGCCTCCCCCAGGACCCCCCACAGCCTCCCCCAGGACCCCCACCTGCAGCCCCGGCCCCACGGCCTCCCCTAGGACCCCCACCTGCAGCCCCCGCCCCATGGCCTCCCCAGGACCCCCACCTACAGCCCCTGCCCCATGATATCCCCCAGGACCCCCGCATGTCCTCCCCCAGGACCCCCACCTGCAGCCCCCACCCCACGGCCTCCCCAGGACCCCCACCTACAGCCCCTGCCCCATGACCTCCCCCAGGACCCCCACCTGCAGTGCCTGGAGCTGCTGACTTGTGTGCCGTGTTCCCTCACGCAGCCAGGCAGGACAGGCCCACCCCCCAGCAGCACGGCCTCCTACCCCAAGCTATCCCTTGGTCCACCTGCCACCCCCCATACCCTTGCACCCTCCCCAGGTCTCTCTTGGGGGATCCTGGAGAACCAGGCCTCATTTCTATCCCAGTCCAATGCTGCACCCAAAGCCACACCCCTCCCTTCTGCTGGGCATCACGAACAGCCCGTCCTGCCCACCAGCCAGGGCACCTTTAAGGACAGGAAGCACGCCTTACCCCTGAGTTTCTAAACATCTCTAACATTAAGCTCTGAGCTGAGCAGACACGCTGGATACTGACTGTGGTGTGGCTGCCGGCGCAGGCCACGGGTGGACCATGTGCCTCTGACCTTCATCATGGATTTTGCTGGTGTTTAAGCCGAGGCCATGGCCACACGGAGACCCGCGGTGGAGAGTGCGCCTGGGACCCGCACTCTCCCTGCACTGGGGACGGCCTCAGTCTCCCGGTGTCTCCTCGAACAGGGCTTGTGCTGACCTCAGGGAGGCTCCCTCTGTCTACTTGAGAGCCTCTGCCCCGGAAGGCCAAGCAATGGAGGCCACGGCAGGGAGCCCGACAGCAGCATGGCAGCGTCCCCAGAAGTGCCCAAAGCCTCCCCCAGCGGAGGTGACCAGGCTTCTCTGAGAGCTGCTGCCACTGGCCACACACAGGAGAAGCGCATCCAACACCACAGGCCTGGCACCTCTCCACATGCACCTGACGGCTCCCACCCTGTGCCCGGCCATGGGGCCACTTCGGCCCTTGGACCTCACAACCCCTGGCCTGGCCCCTCCACGGGCACCATGACCGCTGCATAGCTGCCTGTACCCACGCAGTGCCTGGGGCACGGAATCCCCCAGGAGATGCCACGGTCCCAGCACTCTAGCTGCCATGGGGTGTGAGTGCAGTGGCCACCACAGCTTCCCCACCAGAGGATGAGGGGCTCAGCCTCCTCCCAGCCCCTCTATTCTCCCTCAGAGCAGTACCCTCTTCCTCCTCCCTGCTCACACCTCAGATGTCACCACTGTCTTCCTGCGGCCTTCCCAGCCCCCATGCTCAGCCTCAGGCCCCCAGGCCCAGCCTCAGATCCCCCCCATGCCCACCCTCAGACCCCCAGGCCCAGCCTCCAACCCCCACACCAAGCCTCGGACCCCCACACCCACACTTAGACCCAGCCTCAGACCCCCATGCCCAGCCTCACTGACTGCTGCACTGTCCATCTTGGCCACGCCCTCCTCTTGAGGCCCCTGGGTCCCTAGGAGCAGCTCCTCCCGGTTCTTCCATCCCAGGAGGGCTGGGCCTCAGGAGGGGGGTGCCAAGGCCCTTGGAGGAACAGTCTGGGCATCTCAGCCCCAAGTCCACCACAGCCCCACCAGGAGACCACCCCAGGGGCTGCCAAGGAGTAGCCCTCGCACCTTCTCACTCCATCCTCCCCTCCCCTAGCTGCTCCGCTGGCTGTCACCAGACAGTTCCTTCCACAGCCTCCCAGAACCTCCCATGAACAGGGCGTGCCCATGGCACACTGACAGTGTCCTCTAGGGGTGGCGTCCCAGGGGCCCAGTGTCCTCTAGGGGTGGCATCCTGTTGAAGGGCATCTCTGGCTCCACCCACCAGGTGCCAGCAGCATCTCTGCCCAAGCAGAGACAGCCAAAACTGTCTTGGGCTTTGCCAGAGGCCCCTGGAGCCAGGACTCCTCATGAGAATGGCTGAGGTCATGGGCTGCTCCCGCAGACCCTTCACTCAGCACCTTTCACGCTTCCGCTCCCGCCCTCTGCAGGGTCAGCCTCCTCTCAGGGCTGCTGCTTGAGGCTGCCTACCCAGGAGACTCAGGTATCCTTCCCCAAGCTCCACAGCCCTCACCACTCTGTCCACCCCTCTCGCCCCGCAGCGCCTGTGAGCACTGTCCTTGTCACAAGGTCCCTCCGACCTGGGCACACACACACCCATGGCTCAGGAGCCAGTCTGGAATCTGCTAGGGACAAAGCAGCTTACCTGGGCCACACAGGCTTGCACCCGGACAGCTGGCGTTGACGCCCACCACATCCACGCAGCACTCGGGCAGCTGGGCCTGGAGGGGACACAGCAGTGAACTCCAGGACGCCCGCCAGGCAGGCTCATGCTAGAGCAGCAGCAGCTGATGGTACCATGTGAGCACTCATAATGCCCACAGTTCCAGTCCCTTCTGGAGTCAGCATGAGGTGGCCCTCTGTCCCCTGTGGGCCTGGGAGTGAGGAGGGGACTCACAGCCACACCAAACATCACTGCAGGACCCAATGTAGGCCAATCCCAGGGAAAACCTGAGCCTGAAACAGAGTAAAGCAGACCCAAGAGGTGCACCACGCCCAGACTAAAGACCTCACACCCACGAGGCAGTACCCGCAGGCCACAGGAGCACCCCCGACGTTCGGGGCAGTTCTCCGGACGCCTCTCCATCAGCAGTTTCCAGCTTGGCCCACAGAGGAAGTGCCCAGGCCTGGCTGGTGCCTAAGGGACAAATTCACGCCCAGGTGTGCTGGGTACTGGTGTGTACGGCATGTTCGAGGGCCCATTCCCTGACCACAGGCAGGCCGGACAGGCCTGGGGGCTCAGTTTGTGTGTTGACCATAGCTGGGCTGTTTCTCATGATGTGAGTGCCGTGAAGGGTGAGGGCTTCCGGGGTGACTGAGGAGTGTGGGAGAGAATCCACACTGCCAGGAGGGGCGCAAGTACAGCCCTTCAATTGCCCCAGCCAGGTCAGCAAGGGGGCCTCACCCCCTACCCACTCTGCCTCGGAGTCTGGAGCCTGCATTCTTGATCCACACTCTCTGATAGCAACTCAGTGTGCTGTGCCACTGCCGCTGGCTGAGCTGCTCCCAGTGGGGCCAGGACGCCTCATTGTGGGGGATCCACCTGAACCAGCCACTCCTGAGCAGGTGCTCACCTGGCAGGCAGCTCAGGGTTCCCCTCTGACCCCAACAGGGGACCCGGTCAGAACCTCCAGGCCTGGGACATCAGCGACTTCTAAACCTCGAAGGGTTAGATCCCTCTAGAGAACGGGCCCACTGCTCTCCACAGATGCTCTGGCTTGACTTCCTGGTGTGAGCCACATGGACACGTGACAGGGGCACCTACCATGCTCTCCATGGACTTGCTGGCGACTCCCACCAGAAGGCCAGCCAGGAGGGCGAGGTGTGGCAGTGCCATGCTGAGAGCAGGAGGTGCGCGTGACCTGCACCAGGGAGGAGGGTGGAGCCAGAATGGGGTGGGGCCGAGGCAGGGAGGGCGGAGTCAAAGGGGATGGTGTTGAGGTAGGGAGGGCGTGGCCAGATATGGGGTGGGGCCAAGGCAGGAGGGCAGAGCCAAAGAGATGGGGTGGGGCTGAGGCAGGGAGGGCAGAGCCAAAGAGGTGAGTGGGCCTGAGGCAAGGAGGGTGGAGCCAAGTAGAGATTGGCAGGGCTGTGGTGGGGAGGGTGGGCCCAAATAGAAATAGGGTGGGCGGAGCCAAATGGAAGTGGGCAGGGCTGTAGCATGGGAGGGGGCAAACAGAGATGGGGCGGGGCCGTGACAGATGGTTGAGTCAAATTGAGATGGGGCAGGGCCACAGCTGGGGTGCAGTGCCTTGACAGGGAGGGCGGGGCCCAATGGAGGTGGGGCAAAAGAGTGAGGGGTTGGGGCCTTTGGAGGTACTGGTGGGGCCAGTTGTTGGCGGGGGTCTTACCTGCCCCTCCAGGATGGGGGCTACCGACATCAGCCCCTTGCCTGCCGAGGTGGTCAGGGGTTAGCTCTGGAAGCTCATGGGCTTAGCTGAGCCCTGCAGACCTGGGCCCAGTCCTGCAGATGAAGGCGGCAGGTGAGGCCAAGGTCAGGGGGAGGGCAACCCATGTGGGCCATGGCCTACAGTAGGGGTCTGGGTCCAGTCCAGGCCCTCCGTCCACCCCCTTGCTGGACTCTGGCTGTCTAGCAGGGCATCCTGGAGGGACCGTCACTAGGCTGTAGGGGGTCTTGACGCAGCTGCCTCCAGGATCCTTTCCCTCAAGCTGGCTTCTTGCAGGTGAGAGTGCCTGGGATACAGGCCATCAGCCCAGCCTTTGCTCAGGAAGCAGGTATGGAATGCAGTGGCCCAGGCTCCTTCTGCGCAAACCCCCTCTCCCCTGCAAACCCTTCTCCCTTGTAAATGCCCCTCCCCTGCAAACCCCCTCTCCCCTGCAAACCTCCTCTCCCCTGCAAACCCCCTTCCCCTACAACCCTCCTTTCCCCTGCAAACCCCCTCTCCCCTACAAACCTCCTCTCCTTTATAAACCCCCTCTCCCTTGCAAACTCTCTCTCCCCTGCATTTGCCAGCCACAGGACCTGGTGCCATGGCCCTGCCTTCCTAAGTAATGGAGGAAACACCACCTCCCAGGCACACAAACCCTCATGTGGTATGACTGCACTGGCCCAGGGGCCTCCCTGGCAAGTTAGCCCCAGAGGGGCTGCAGCCAAGTTGGGCCTGGGGATCTCCTCTTGACAGGCCTAGGCCAGGGTCCTGGGACAAGGGCTGTGAGCAGCAGGGAGATGGGGGCCCTGGAGGACACAGCTCCAGTCCCCACCACAGGGACTATGGGAAGAAAGTTGCCCAGGTGCCACAGCAAGAGACTGAAGGCATGATCTGTCCCAGCATAATAAATAACTGAGTACTCAGTTATAGCAATGATACCAAACAGATTTGCTGATTAGTTATAGCAATGATATATTTACTGATTACTTAGTTATAGCCATGACACCTAATAGACTTAGATTCAATCACATAATAAATTATATAATCAATCTTATTACATCATTATTCTCTATTAATTTTGGTTTTAGTGTAGGAACATTTTAGTCTTATAGTATAGACATAATTGAGTGAAATATAACTCGGAACTGAAGGGACGTTATGAGAGGTGCTCAGGAGGTGAGAGGAAATGCCTCGTGGTAGCGCCAGCGTCTGGGGGAGGTGCCCGTTACTTAGCAGGCCATGAGGGGGAGTTTCCCTCTCACTGGGGAGTTCAGAGAAAACTCTGCTCTGCCGGCTCTTGAGGAAGGCCTGACACTGGCCAGCCGGCCCACAGACATCCGGGGGCTTAAACACCTCTCCGTGGTGCTGTGCTCTGATGGTCACCAACCTTGTCCACCTTCATGTTCCACTTTCCCACCCGATGCGCCCTTGTAAATTCTTAGAAGCTGTGAGAGGAACAGAGGAATCGTAAAAGCCTTTGCTCTCTCTGGTAAGTGCATGGAAAGATACTGACATAAGCGCCTCCCCTCCTTGCAGCAGCTGCCTGAGAGGGAGAGGCCCCCTGAACTCTCCCACATATTGTAAGAATGTGACTTGCTTGGCCCCTACCAATCATGTCAGATGAGTCACTCTCCGGCCCTGCCCCCTGCCTTGTATACAATAAATATCAGCGTGTCCAAGCACTGAGGCCACTGCTGGACTCCGCCCCTTAGTAGCAGTGGTCCCCTGGCCCAGCTGAATTCTTCTCTTATCTCTGGGTCCTTGTCTCCTTTTTTTCTACAATCTATCATGTCCTCACACAAAAGAACACCCACTAGACCCTGTAGGGCTGGACCCTGCAGGGAAAGTCCACTCCATCACCCGCTCCATGCTGGATTCAGGTCACGGCCCCACAGACTCACCAGGTTGCCTAGGTGTGAGTCTGTGGGAGAACCCATCTCCCCTGAAGCCTCCTCCTTAGGTGCCCCTCCTCCTCCCAGGGGGCGCTGTGATCTTTAAAAGTCTCAGCCACTGACCCCATTAAAAATGTACTCTGCAGGCGGGGTGCCCTGGCTCCTGCCTGCAATTCCTGTACTCTGGGAGGTGGGGTGGGTGGAATGCTTGAGCTCAGGAGCTGGACACCAGCCTGGGCAACACAGTCAGACCCTGTCTCTACAAAAACTTTAAAATTAGTCAGGCCTGGTGGTGTGAGCCTGACTGAGGTCCCAGCTACTCAGGAGGCTGAGGTGGGATGATTGCTTGAGCCCAGAAGGTGGAGGCTGCAGTGAACCGAGACGGCACCACCGCACTCCAGCCCTGCGCTTCAGAGCAAACGCCATTGCTAAAAAAAAAAAAAAGCACGTTCTCCTGTGATTCACTCCCTCCCCTCTCTGATGTAACCCTTTTAGATAAGCACATTGAAGTCACAGACACACTGCTCATGCTGTAAGCAATCAAGTCTTATCTTAACATCTGCCTATCAGAGGCCATCCGCCTCGCCTCTGCTTGGTGGAAAACTCCAGACATCACAGGCCCTTCTCCCTCTCTGGCTAAGCCACAAAACATCACTTCAATTCAGGAATCAGAAGTCCAAGATTTCAATCAACACTTTCATCTGCTATTTAGTCAACTTTATGGAGGTGTAATTCTCATACGGTAAACCACATCCATGTAAGAGCCAGTGAGTCTGACCACCCTCTTGAAGCTGCCACCACAGCCAGGACAGGGCCTGGCCCTACATAGCTGCTGCCAGAGCTGGCTCCCAGCACCCAGGAGCTGACCGGGCTGCATCCGTCTGCATTTTCTAGGATTTTATACAAAGGGGTTGCTCACACTGACCTTTAGAGCCTTCCATATTGTTTATCTGCACTTTCTTTTTACGGCCAAAGGATTTTCCACCGTGTGGCCACACGTTGCCACCTCTGCCTGTTGGCCTGCTGGCGGGCGCCTAAACTGCTCCCAGTTCGTGCTGACTGGATTACACTGCGGCAGAGGCCCAGGCACACGTCCTCCTGTGGACACCTGTCTCCACTTCTCTTGGGTAAACACCCAGGAGCGGAGTGGCTGGCTCACAGCAAGGTGCGTGTGTAACTTTGTAAGACACTGCGCCGTCTTCCACAGTGGCCGTGCGTTCACCTTCCCACTGGAGGTGTGGGAGCACGTGTGCAGGAGCATCTATTGCTGGTCTGCACTTCCCTGAAGACTGTGATGGCCAGCATCTTCCCCTGTGTTTATCAGCCACTTATACCCCTTCTTTTCTGAAGTGTCTGCTCCCATCTCCTGCCCATGTTTAACTGGTGGTCTTCCTATTATCGAGTTGTAACATATGCTGTTTTTGGGGGCGGGGACAGGGTCTCACTCTGTTGCCCAGGCTGGAGTGCAGTGATGCCATCGTGGCTCACTGCAGCCGTGACCTCCAGGGTGTAAGGGATCCTCCTGCCTCAGCCTCCCAAGTAGCTGAGACTACAGGTGCACGCTGGCATGCTCGGCTAAAACACATATTCATCATCCTGTTTATGCGAATATTTTCTTCTATCTTGTGGTTGATCATTTTCTTATGGACATTTTTAGGAGAGCAGATGTTTTTAATTTTGATGACATTTTTAATAAAATTGAATGCTTCCATTTTTCTTTTTGTGGTTCTTGTGTTTTGTGTCCTAGGAAATCTCTGCCTCATGGTCACTAAGACTTAGGACCCTCTCCCAGAAGTGTTACAGTTGTGGCTTTTGTATTGTGAAGTGGAGGTCAGACGTCATTGCTTTTATTATGTATATCCGGTTGTTAAAAAGACCTCTCTTTCCATGTTGAATTATGTTGACACCTTTGTTGAAAATCAATGGACAGACATGGAGTCTATTTCTGGGCTTTCCATTCTGTTCCACTTACCTGTGTGTCCATTCTTCAGGGCACCGGGCTGGCTGGATTACTGACGCCTAATGTATCAACTCTGCTTTTGTTAATTGCTTTGGCAATTCTAGGTAACATGCATCTCTTATTTTAGACTCACTGCGTCTGTTTCTACAAAAAAGCCTGCTGTGACTGTGACTGGGAGCACTGACGTTTAACGGGATGGAGTCTTTTCACATGAGCATGCCATCTCTTCATTTCTCCGGGTATTCAACTGATCTCAGCACTGTTCTACAGTTTTCAGTGAACAAGGCTTGGACACCTTTTGTTAAGCTAATTACTAAGTATTTTACTTTTTGTTATTACAAAAAGAGCGGAATTTCTAATTTAATTTCCTGATAGTTTTCGGCTTCTATATAACTATAAAATTGTGCACACTAACCTTGATTTCTGAAATCCTGCTAAATTCCCCTTAATAGTTCCAACATTTCTCTGTAGCTTTCTCAGGATCCTCTACATAAATAATCATGTCATCTACAAGTAAATACAGCTTGACTTCTTCCTTCCCTTATCACAGTGGCTGGGACTTAGAGAACAATGCAGACAGAGTGAGAAAAGCTGTTGTCCTTGTTGCTGATTTAGGGACACAGCACTCAGTATTTCACCATTAAATGTACAATGTGAGACCAGGCGCGGTGGCTCACACCTGTAATCCTGCAACTTTGAGAGGCCGAGGCAGGTGGATCATTTGAGGTCAGGAGTTTGAGACCAGCCTAACATGCTGAAACCCCTCTCTACTAAAATACAAAAATTAGCAGGGCCTGGTGGCAGGCACCTGTAATCCCAGCTACTCGGGAGGCTGAGGCAGTAGAATCGCTTGAACCCAGGAGGAGGCAGAAGTTGCAGTGAGCCAAGATCGCCCCACTGCATTCCAGCCTGGGTGACAGAGTGAGACTATCTCAAGAAAAGAACCCAGTATAATGTGTAGTTAGGTTTTTCACAGACATCAGTTTATCAGGCTCAGAGGTTTCCTTCTGTTCCTAGTTTGCTGAGGTTTTTTATTTTTTTTTATCATAAAACAGGTGTGAACACTTCCAAGTGTCTTTTCTGCATCTATTTCAGTGATCATGCTTTTCCTTCTTTATTCTGGTAATGTGGTGACCACAAAGACTGATTTACGAATCGAAGCAACCTTGTACATGGGCGAACCTCGCTTGGCCAAGGTGCACTACCCTCCCAGGGTATTGCT